TATAAAGTTTAAGCGATCTGACTTACCCGGTAGCTTGCTCTGAAACTCGACGAACTGAATTTAAATTAGCGTCACTTACTTATATACAAATGCGACTTAATCCGAGGCAAGCTACTCGTGCGTGCGTGCAGAAAGGAATCTATTATTAAATTCATGCTTTTCGCGCATAACGAAACAGCAATAATGATGGTGATGGTGATGATAATGGTAGTGGTGATAATGATGGTGGTGATGGTGATGGTGATGGTGATGATAATGGTAGTGGCAATAATGATGGTGATGGTGATGATAATGGTAGTGGTGATAATGATGGTGATTATGGTGATGATGATGATGGTGATGATAATGGTAGTGGTAATAATGATGGTGATGGTGATAATGATGGTGATTATGGTGATGATGATGATGGTGACGTTGATGATGATGGTGGTGATGATGGTGATGTTGATGATGATAATGGTGTGGTGATGATGTTGATGCTGTTAATGTACGATGGCGATGATGATTATGTTGATGATGATGATAACATTGATAACAATGGTATCAACATCTGTTTTCTCATTAGATCTGATGACTATGAAGCAGCACATCTCTCGCTCCTCAGATCACATCAAAATGAGTTCACTCGGTACGTCATCCCATGCTTCATAGCACCAGGACGATGTACTGACCCAGGAACACTGTCATGCAGGTAATAATCAGATACTCTACACACAGCTATACATGCCCATCAACACCATACATGTCTCATATTTCGAGGGGCTTTGCTTTTAGACTTTGTAGAATCCATCCAAACTTTGAGAGATGTCAGAGCACAAAATTTAACTGAAAATCTACAACAGGGGGAGGGGGTACCTGGGAACCTAAATAAAACCCTCGAATCGCAGGAGAGAACCAAGCGAAATACTCTGCTAGCATATAATGACAAGTCCTTTTAGACTTCTATAGAATCCATCTGAACCCTAAACCCTAACCCATCTAAACTTTGAATGATGACCACATTGGGTTCAAGTCAAAGCCCCAAGAAAAACTGGAAATCTTTAAGGTGGGACACCTGAGAACCTGGATAAAACCCTCCAAGTGCAGAAGAGAACCAACCAAAATATTTTAGTGGCAGATGTCCAGTCTGAAGATTGAACCCACATTTACATGGGGGAGGGGTGGCGCATAAATAGCACCCACTACCCATGCTTCCTGAAAGCAAATATTCAATCTTTCATATCTCCTCTGCTTTTTTCTCTACTAGTGTTCATAATACCCTGTACCTAGAGGTACACTGTCCTGCTGTCAAACCGTCTATTGTTGTGATATCAGACTCTGGAAGGAATGTCCTTGAGTTTGGCAACATCTCTTTAGGTAAGAGCACAAATCCTTCACTCTGTACAGCCTTGTATCATTATTATAACTTTTGGTATTTATTTTGGTCATTTACTATTATTTTCTAATTTTTTGCTTGCCTTGGCAGGTCAATCACAATTGAGGAATGTCACAATTCAGAATGTTTCCAATGAAACTTTAGATGTATCCTTTTACACTGTGTTTATTTTATTAAATCATGCCTTCTCCTTTCTCCTCCCACTTCCTCCTTCCTCGTACACACACACTCACTCACCCATACCCCAGTATGCCCATACCCCACTGTACCCATACCCTACTGCGCCCATTTCTCATTTCCACCACACCCATACCCCACCACACCCATACCTCACCACACCCATATCCCACCACACACATCTCACCACACCCATTCCACACCCGTACCCCCACACACCATACCTCACATACCGATAACCATATCTCACAAACCCATACCCCACCACACCCACACCCATACCCACTCATATTCCACCACACCTATTTTCCACACACCCACACCACACAACAACAGACGAGCTAGACATCTACTACCTTTAATGATCACAAAATATTTTTATCTTTTTGCTGTTGTTGCTTGATGTTGCTCTTGTTGTTTTTGTTGTTGTTCGTAGTGGTGATGATGTTGTTGGTGGTGGAGGTTCTGGTGTGGTTTTTTGTGTGGTGTGTTGTTGCTATTAGTAGAGATGACAGTGGTAATGTTCTCGTCAATCTTTGTCTCCAAGCTGCTTGCTAAGTTACTCTCCTTAACCACTCGCATTCAGCTGTCTTCCTCATTGCTAGATCCTCACGGTCCATTTCAGATGCTCAATGCATTGAGGACATTGGATCCCCAAGCAGCCCATACTGTTGTTCTGGGGTTTGAACCAAACGCGCCAAAAGAGGTAAGACTAGACTAGTACTTCTTTCTAACTTCCTGAAAGTCTGTCTGTCTGTTTGTCTGTTTGTCTGTCTGTCTGTTTGTCTGTCTGTCTGTTTGTCTGTCTGTCGGTCTGTCTGTCTGTCTGTCTGTCTGTCTGTTTGTCCTGTCTATCTGACTGTCTATCTGTCTGTCTGACTGTCTATCTGTCTGTCTGTCTGTCTATCAGATTATTTGCCTTTTCAATCTTCCTGCCTTAGCTTTGTCTGTCTGTCCGTCTGTCCGTCTATTGTCTTTGTGTGTGTCTATTTGTGTATCTATGTGTCTGACATAGGACTTTTCTAAGGTAGATAACTTGGTGCATTCTGTTCAAGCTTGGGTACAAACAACACCATACGAGTTCTCATTGTCAATAGAGTTTGTACTCAAACTAGACCGGAATGCACCATGTTCGCTATCTCAAAAACATCATAGTACATTCGAGTAATGTTCTTTGCTGTGTAATTCCAGTTCAACGAGGAACTAGAGATCCGCTGTCCTCGTAACACAGTGTCAATCAGACTCAAGGGTAAAGGCGTGACGCCTGTGATCTCGCTGTCTGTTCCTGATGGTCTGTTGGATATAGGAGACGCTATGGTTTCTGATTCGGTCACGTCAACCTTTAAGGTAATGGTATATTATCTTGTAAGAAAAATGTCACGGTCTAGAAAGAGGGTCCTGAAGGGGTAAAATGGGAGCTGGGATTTGCCTTTTTTTGGGCTGGGAAAATGGGATTTTACACACTGTAAATGGGATTCACAAACAAACAAAAAAAACTGGAAAATTGGTTTGCAACCGGGGAGTCCCCTCGGGTCCGGTTGCAATACCCCGCTACTGACACCACCCCTTTTTGATTCGCGTCACGCAATCATCTCTGTATTCAACGGTAATTTTGATTCGCGTCACGCAATCATCTCTGTATCGAACGATAATCTTGATTCGCATCACGCAATCATCTGTATTCAACGGTAATTTTGATTCGTGTCACGCAATCATCTCTGTATTCAACGGTAATTTTTATTCGCGTCGCGCAATCATCTCTATGTCTTCAACGGTAATGATAATAAATCGAGAATTAAGACCATTTGTATGTGTTTTTTTTAATTCTTTTAAGATCTCCAACACATCAGAGCTGTCTATTTCCTTCAAGCTCAAACTAGACAGTCAGTCTCCTCTTCGTCATGGTAAAGCTCAAGTCACACCAAGATATCTTAAAGCATTTGATGATTCTGCTGAAACACAGCCACACGTTGTCGGTAAGATTAGCACTCGCCTCTCATCAATGCGACCCGGGTTTGCGTCCCGCCGGGCGCGGTGTGTCGTATGTGAGTAGAGTTGGTTGTTGGTTCTCTCCTGTGCTTCGAGGGTCTTTCCTCCTGGTTCTCTGGTTTTCCTCCCTCCACAAAAATCAACTCCTAAATTCCAATTCGATCAAGGTTTGTTAGCAACTGGCTATTAAGTTCTATCCTAGTTTAAACAAGAACGTTTTTTTTTTTTGGGCCATCCTTGCGTATTGGAATTTTGGTAGCTTAATTTTTTGTCCAGTTTTTCTTGGCGGCAAAGATTCTCGAGCAACTATGGGTTAAATAGTTGACCTGTTCTCTACTTTCTGCTTGATGGCCTCTAATAATTAAAGGAATAACGCTTAGAGGTGTCCGTATTATAAAGGTATATTTATAAGTGAATAACTACAGCCGAGAGCAAGTGTCCGTAATAATATGTACTTATTGACTGAGTGGGAGGGCCGTGCGGGAAAATATTTGGCTCGAGGTGATGCCGTACAAATGACCGAGAGCCAAATATTTTCCCGTACGACCCCACCTAACTCAGTCAATAAGCATTTTATCATATGACCCTCACAGAAAGAAAAATAATCTTAATAAAAGAAAGCGCGCGGATTCGAGCAGGGCCGTACGGATTCGTACGGCCCTGCTCGCTCAAAGCCGTACGGCCCTGCTCACGCCATTTTCCCGAAGGTTTTTCTAAGAGCGCGCGCCAGGGCAGATACGGGTAATGTGATAATAAAGTATACACTGTACGAATATGGACAGGACTTGGCGGGAATATACTTATTTTGGGATACCTGTGTTGATTGATTATCAATGATATTAATACATCTATGTGTATTCTTCTAAGGTCCTTCAAACTACAATGGTATTGCTGTTATTGACTGTGTTCCAGCACAAGGAGTCATAGGAGCTGGTCAGTATGTCCTTTAAGCAATTTTAACCAATAGAGGTGTTGCACCATCACGTGACGGCAGCCATGTTAGATGACAGGAACAATACAATCGTTTTACATGAGAAACAAATCAATTCCCGAGAGCAAAGGGATTTCACTACCACAGGTAGTCCAAGCTGAATTATTGGCGCCGGCACGTGATGGTGCAAAACCTCTATTTCTGATTGTTTTGCGTGGTATGTCCTTTTATTTACCACGATATGACGTCAACAGTTTGTCAAAAGATTATGTACGCACGTGACGTAACCATCAATTTAGTTTAACATTCCATTTATTCGTCTATCCCATCACTTCTAATAACTTTGTTTTCCCCATTTTTCTGTCTATTCGTCCAATTTCATTTCTTTATTCATATTATCATTATTATTTTCTACAAACAGGAGAGTCCAAAGAAATCAGCGTAACATTCTCCCCAGACCATCCCAGCATACACTACGCGGATGTGATGACTGTAGAAATTAACAATGGGGTGAGTTACCAACGGTTATTGAGGCAACGATTTCGAATTTTCATCTCATCAAAGATAGAGTTATCATGGTAAACATGTTGAAGGAATCGATTCTTTTCCGTTAAAAAATAGATTTGATCCCCCCCCCCCCCCCCCAAAAAAAGAATTGCTGTAAAAATGCTCTATAGAGCAAGGTATACGCCGGAGCAATCATATTTCGCGAAAATTTACTCTCCATCCAATCATCCAATCAAATACCCGAAACACAGCCCTGACACGATCACCGCCTAAGGTCACGCCACTTCTAGACCAATCACATTGCGCGAGAAAATAAACAGCCAATCAAAATTCAAACAGCACTGAGCTTTTCACAGTCATATGAAAACTGCTGTATGTTAATAACATCAACGTTTGGTTATTGTAGGACCAAGCACAGACGATTAAGCTGGAAGGTCGAGCCTGGCCGACCTTGGTGTACGTGCGTGGTTTTGATGAGTTGATGCCTAATATAGAATCACTGGTGCCGGAGCGTGAACCCGAGGAAGAGGAAGGTAAGATAGCCCACTCAGTCTTAGGATAAAAACAACGAAAGCATGTTACCAAGCGAGGTCGAATAAACGGTCAGGCGCCGATAATTTACCTCTATAACATCGCGCGCAACAAATTTTTTATCTTGTGAACACAGCTTGCTTTGCTGCTGACAATGATTTAATGTTCTTTGCCAATGGTATGTAACGTTTATGCCACAGATTCAGTTATGTTTAGGTAGTGTTTCAAAAACTATAGTTTCCTGTATTTAAAATAGTTTATAGTACTTATAACCTACCTCGAAAATTAAATTCTGTCACCAGTGTTGTACGCAGTAGTTGAACCTTTAAGCCTGGCTCTCACCCAAGGCGACGCAAGCCGACGCAACTCCAAGCTAGTCTACATCTTCACTATGAAAAGAAGCGACACTAGCGCAAGAGAACGGAAGGTTTTGTTTTCGTGGGTTGGCTTGCGCTTCTGCTCATACTTGGGTCGGCTTGCGTCAAAAGTGAGAACCAGGTTTCAAGCATGGTTTTCGTTTGAGGATTTTTCCAACTTGCGGATGCGCTGGTGTACCCGACAGTGTTTCAAATGATCTCAGTCGAAGGAAGGATGCTTTGATTTAATAGCGCATTACGCTACCCACGTCTATAATGCAGGTCAATCCTCCAATATATTTTTTATTTGTCTTAATTCTACAGAAGCTAAAGCGACGATGAAGAATGTTTTGTTGACATTCAAAAGCTGCTCGAGTCCCGAGGGATTCGGCGTGGCGGAGAGAATCCTTGATATAGGCTGCATAAAATCCAACCTACAGACTAAGAAGGTAAGTATTTAGTTTGGAGTCCCTGTGGTTCTGTGGCCGAGGGGATTGTTACTAGTCTTGCTACACAATAGACCCCTTCACAGCTCCCTGCGCCATCTTGATGCCGTGGCATCCGTGTGAAATGTGAATAATTGTCCAAGGTAGCCGTGTGACATGTGAATAATTGTCCAAGGTGTTAAATAAGGTCTCTATCATTTCAAGCTCACCGTTCGTCTCACTTCGATGCAAAAGCACGGCTACCTTTCAAGATGGCGCAGGGAACTGTGAAGGGGACTATTGCCACATATGTATGTATGTCGAGAGAATTCACATGGGCGCGTAAAGATAGGCAACTTAGAAAATACMTCCAGCTCGCGCAGCTAATCAGAAAGCACAATCTTTAGGATACCGGACCGGAAAAAAATTTAAATATATATCTTGACATGTGTAGTCATGCCAACGACATTGCAACCCATCCCTCAATATTTGCTATCAACCGCTATAACTTCATTAAATCGTTTCTTATTCTTCTCATTTCAACCTTTACAAGTCATCAGATTTCTATTTCGAGAATCCAAAAGAAGCGAACGAAAAAGGATTTACGTTTGATCCCATGAAGGTAAGCTTTCTTTCCCCCATCCCACTCCCCGAAGGTAATGAAGGCGCCTTGGAAGCGCCGAACACAGAGGCGCCGAGCAGTTCCATCAGCTAGTCCTGTTCGATAGGCCCTTCATCGTAGACCTTTTCTGAGATAGCGAACATGCTTCATTGATGGTCTAGCTTCGGTACAAACATCTTTTGTTTATCTTGCCTTATATGGTGTTGCTTGTACCGAAGCTAGACCACAATGCATTCTGTTTAATCAACGCAGACAAGGCCTATAGACCATTTCACGGATCCCGTTACTGAACCTCAGCCTCGTCAGCGTGTAATTATTCTTTAGAATTTGACTACAGTCCGCAGTAATGAAAGGAATTTACACATCAACGAACAATTGAAACACTTGAAAATTCGACAGGTTGTAGGCAATTTCTAAAGAATATATTACACGATGACGAGGCTGAGGTTGAGTAACGGGATCCGTGAAATGGTCTATTGTCCTCCACCTCACTCTGTTCTCTGCTGTTTTCTTTGCCTCTTCCCATGTGATGCTTGAGTTCTTCATTTCTGCCATGCGTGACATCCTCCAAACCGTGCCATGCTGAATACTTTGGAATGCCAGTTATAGACCGTTTTCTCAAGGTTGCGTGCGCATCCAAATTTAAGAAAGTTGACGGGCCACGATACCAGAGCCGGAGCCTTGTAATGAGAATTATTATACATTTCTATGAGATTTTTCGATAAGAATTCTCCCCTTTAGATTTGGCTTCTCAATTTGACTGAATTTCCCTTTTACGGTTTTGTGTCCTGTCAAGATAGGAAGCGCACGCAACCTTGAGAAAACGGTATTACTAAAAGATCCAGCCAATCAGAACGCAGAGTTCTTAATAGTCCATTAGTATGGTTTGTGTAGACTAAATTCAGTATTGCACCGTTACAGGCAGGTGTGGATATCGGAGTAAAGAGATCTGTTTTGTGTAAATGGCAGCCACCGGCAGGACACGACGTAAGTACCTCACCAGCAAGGAATGATGGGATAGCTGGGGACTTTTTAGTCTTTATTTCTCTGGTATAAGTCTCCATGACAAGTACCTCACCAACAAGGAATGAATGGATAGCTGGGGACTCTTTAGTCGGTCTTTATTTCTCTGGTAGAAGTCTCCTAGCTCCATGACAAGTACCTCACAAACAAGGAATGATGGGATAGCTGGGGTCTCTAGCCTTTTTTTCTTTGGTAGAAGTCTCCTAGCTCTATGACAAGTACCTCACAAGCAAGGAATGATGGGATAGCTGGGGACTCTTTAGTCTTTTTCTCTTGTAGTAACCTCCAGCTGTAGGTCAGAATAGATATAAGATAGGTCACATGCATTTAAATGTCATTTACTACTTCTACCAGAATCCCTTGCACACTTTATTTTGTTCTGTTCATTAGCATCACTTGTTTTAATATTCTCATGAGGGAATACAAATTTGAATAAGAAAAAAAAATTCGCCAAGCATTTTGGTAGTGGGAGTCAAATGACGACATCGCAGTCGCCATGTTGGATGACATAAACACTTCTCATAAAAAATACACCCCAAATTTTTTCCCGTCTGCAAGACATGGTTAACGGAATATGTTTTCTTATTTCAGCCCAATACGCCAGTCGTATCAAGCACAGTGGTAAGTTATCAAAAACACTGATTTCGGATGATTGTATATCTAATGCACCGACTTCACTCTGTTGGTCTGCGATACCACAGGTATCCCAACCAAATTTGTTAACTTTCGTATTTACTATTGTAGTTGACGATCAAGGCGGACATCACAACACAGTACAAGATTCTACTACAAGGGTTTGTAACAACAATGCCCCAGGCTCCCGCTGACCAACAGCCTGCGCCGTCCAAAGAAGGGAAATAACTCAAAGATAATAATATTTCTTTTGTGGACTCTATCTATATTTTCATAAAAGGAACTGCAAATAGGGAAAACGCAAAGACGTTAGCTGTAGCTGTCGCATCTTGGATTGCCTTAGTTCAGCAGGAACTTCATTCATCACTTTTGCGCGTGCTTAAAAAATAGCATTTTCCCATAGCAAAACTTTGCGCAATTTTAACTCTTTCAATGTGAACTCTTTATTAATATTTTTCATACAAGAAAAATATGGAAACCGCAAAGAATTTTGATGTTGTCACAGTTTAGTAGGTACTCAATTCATCGCTTTTGCGCATGTTTTGATATTCATTTTTTCCAGAGCGAAATTTTCCGCAATTTTAGTGAAGATGTTCTCAAGTCAAAAAAATACAGCTAGATTATCGATTCAATTTCTGGTTTGGAAACCTTGCGCGTGCGCAGTGTAACTAAAAACGAAATAACAATAAACAGGAAGCCATTTTAGTGCCATCCCGTGGGAATGCTATTTACAGAATATCCCCGGTTTTAACACACAACACTGCGAATTTAATGTTCATTCTTATTTCGCATGCTGTAAATTATAAAACTTGTAATATATATTATATTATTAGGGTTAAAAGCTCAAGTTTCGCTACGAACATTCTTTTCTCTTGTGTGTTTTCAAAATTCGTGAGTTTTACATTCTTAGTTTTGGTAAACCGCTTTATTTTATGTAACATTTCCTTGTACAAATTCTTTTCTGACAGCAAGTATAATTAAAATTTTGTTTGTTCAAAACTGATTTTTAACACTTTTTTCCACATTTGTGAAATTTATTTTTGCTCTTATTTTTACTAAGACCGTTCCTCGATGCGAAAATGATTCAAAGAGTTAACTAAAAGAAAGTAGAAAATAAATAGTGCTTTGTACAATGAAAATGTTTTGCGAAATGAGCGAGTCTCTTTTGTATCCGGTGAAAAATATCAAATCAGTGGGAAAGTTAAATAGAGAATTTTCCTTTCTTCTTGAGCATAAATTTGGAAAAGTAGTTGGAGTCAACACGGATGCTTTTGTATACGTCTAAAGAATTTGTCCTTGCCATTTCAGGCGAAATATTCAGGGTATCCATGTTGATCAATAAGAAAGATTTATTTCTTCATTGTGCAAAGTTGAGCCGGCTATCCGATAAATACAATTGATGGTTTTCACGGCGGCCATGTTGGAGGAACTTAACAAAAGAATTGTCAATGAATTTTTTTTTAAATCCTCCAACATGGCCGCCATAACTTGTTATTTAATTCTCTTGGGAATGGTTGAAAACCATCTATAGAGTATTCAAGTGTGACGCCAAAAAAACTTTTTTTTGGCTTTAACAATTTTCGATCTCTAATTTCGATAGACAATCGAAAAAGACCTTTGCACACCAAATTTGACGAGAATCGGTCAAATATCAGCTGATATATTGCCATTTGAATACATGATTTTCCCATACAAATCACTGTATCTTGAGCTCCGTTCTAAACGTTTAGACAGCCGGCAGGCGTGACTTGGCAAAGACTTGGAACAACAACTGTTAATAGTTTTTATTCGCTGCTAATGGATGAATGGCTAATTGATTAAGAGCTTTATATCCAGTCAAACCTGCTAAATAAAAGGTGTTCCTGCGAGCAAGTGGTTCCTTGTTCGATTGAAATTGTTTCCCTCTTCATGCAAGGTGTGCTTCCGGAAAACACTTCTTTCTTTCTCTTGGTTTAGAAAGAGATTATGTAATCGCGAGGTCGACGTAACAATGAAAAGCATCTTAATACAATAAATAAATAAGGATGAGAGTAATTCAACTGATAAACTCGTGGTCCTCTGTTAACGTCTCTTAATTAGGGATGGGACCGCCATTAACGCGGTCATCCGAACGACGTAAAGGTCTAATTGCAGATGTAATTCAGTACAAAGGGCAACACCTTCTCGTCAGTTCTTTTAAGACCCTTGCTGTTGTTCTGTTCTAGGCTTCAACCACGACCTCCCGCACACGAGTTATCAACTGAGCTAACCGGGTGGCGAGTTAGCTATGAATGAGAATTACAAAAGAAAACAGTGACGTTACATTCGGACAAGAAAAAGTTTGAAAATTATTGATGAACCTAAATAATTATTTTGAATTTGCGATCACAACACAAGGGCTCTATCTATCTACATCCCAACACAATGAATATCCATTGAACTTCATACATTCTTTGATGTTGCCCTAGCTATAACTTGCCAGAAACAAACTATTGTCAACTTTTGCAGTAAATCTCGCGGTTTACCATAAGGCTACTTGGTCTTTTCTCAGTTGTCTTTCTTTTCTCTAGATGAAAATCTAATTTATATTGATCTTCCTAAAAATTGATAAGGTAACTTTGCAGTAAATCAGTGTCAAGGAAAATGTGCTAAAATTAAAATTTCATTGTTCTTGTGAGTCACTGGAAGTCATAATAACTTCCCCACTCGAAAGACGCTGTCGACAAAAACAAGACGATGAAGCCATCTTAAAGTATTTGCGAAGAGGGGGATGGGATTATATGTTGTACACTCGTTGTCCCATCTCGCAGCTTTGATTGTTACCAGAGTTGAAGATGATGAAGCCATTTAGAAACATCTAAAGATATGGCTATTTAAAGCAAGGTGGAATTTGGTCATGAAGAATCGTACATCAGAGAAGAGATATAGAAACTCAAGACTAGTGGATGGGATTGTACGTTGTACACTCGTTGTACTATCTTACAGCTTTGATTGTTACCAGAGTTGGAGATGATGAAGCCATTTAGAAACATCTAAAGAATAATGGCTATTAACTCAATATCACTGGATGGGATTGTACGTTGTACACTCGTTATCCCATCTTACAACTTTGATTGTTACCAGAGTTGAAGACGTTAAAACACTTATTTAGAGAAAAATACTGATGCAATATGTATGATTATCACGAAAAGCACGAAGAATCTCGTACTACAAAAACCAGAAACTTAAGATCACTTGCATTTTCAGTATCCTAATTTGAAATCTTGATGTCACCTAAATGAAAGCATGTATTTAAAAACATCTTGTATGAATTATTGCAACAGGCAAGAATGAAATATTGGCCATGAAAAATATCTTATATGCCTGAAAAATAAAAGCTAAAAAACAAGATCACTTAATGTAATTCCATTTTGTACTTGTGGAGCATTTTAAAGATTTGATTTGGGGCAAATTTGTAATAGTAAAGCAAGTATTTACACCAAAAATATATATATTACTTAAGGCAAGCTAAATATATGGCCATGAGGAATTCAAAATCACTTGCATATTCTACCTTTGGCCCATTTTGGAACTTGAAATGGTAAAACAAGTATTTAGAAACTTCGAAAAAAAAATTATTTAAGGCAAGCAATAGGCCTTGAGAAATCGCGGCATATTTGGGAAGAAAGAGGAACTCAAAATCACTTGCATTTTCTACTTGTGGCCCATTTTGAAACATATTTCGCTAAAATTTTAAATGGTAAAATATGTATTTAGAAACATCAAGAGAAATTTAGATTAGGACAAGCAAAATGTAAGTTTGAGAAGTAAAGGAAACTTAAGATCACTTGAATGTACTTATACTTTTTACTTGTGTCCCATTTTGAACAAAAGTTTGACTACTGACTTTAGATATAGTTCGTTTACCTGGGACGCGTTCAGTCCTAGAGTCAATACTGCGATATTCGTTACTTCATTTGTGTTGTATCAACACAAGAAAATATATTTAACATCTTTTTTGCGTGTTACGGCTTTGCGGAGCAAATTATCTTTACAAAAACGAAACTAAGGAAAGAAAGTGTTATTCCAATGTGATTACAACAGCAAGTTAGTCGTTGATACGTTAACCCCGTTCTGACTATGTCATAAACATCACTTTTATAATTTCTGAAGAAAACGACGACTTCCTAAGCTACCGTACTTCCCACACAGCTCCAAAATTGCCACATTCAATTTGATACAAAAAGTCGTAAGAAAACAACTTTAATTTTCAAAAATATTTATTGAATTTCGGTGACAGCTTTTAATTTTCAATCTTAGCTAGCTCTATTTGTAATAATATAATTTTCCTCGCTTCTTGACAATGTTAGAGTGCATACTGCATATATGAAAAAGTTAACAAATTTTTTTACAAATTAGTGCAAAGTTTTGTAGGTCTACGAGGTCTACTAAACCAACTTATTTGTGCAAATTGGTCTTATTTCATTCAACGTGTTTCACGGATAAATGTACGCACTAAATATATATTTAAATATATTTTTGTGTTGTTCAAATCAAGCACTGATCAGCCGATTTCACTGATTTTTATTTAACTTTTTGTCCAATATTTTCTGAAAAACAACATCAATGTGAGCTTATAATTCACTCGTGTCATAATCAATTTTTAAAATATTTCACTCGTTAAGTCTTAACCCAGTAAGGTATATGTAGCACCTAATACTCTTAACATGCAAGTTTTTAAATTTCATTTGTGTTGCCACAATGATTTTCTTGTTTCTTGATGTAACTTTTTTCGTAAAAACAGATTTGGTACCTAAGCCTGCCGTATACGTGGACAAAGCCCTTGCTTTGAGATGGGTCAATTCAAAACTCAATAGTAATCTTTATAACGTGGCAAATTTCAAACTAAGACAAGGTACACAAAGAGCTCCTTAAAGTTTAACCATAAAAAGCAGGTATTTCGAGTGCGTTTAAGTGGAGAAGTCGTGGTTTTCGAGAGGGAAATTGTCTTGACATGAATAAAGCAAATATGGTAGTTTTTCTCGTAAAAAAGCATAGAATATTGTGAAATATTTGTAATGATGATCGTATCAATTCTCCCATTAAATTAGAGATCTATTAGATTACAAAAACGATATATGAAACAGTTCTACTACTTAGAATATATAATAGCTTTAAAACCGATTTAACTATGAGGAAAACTTTAGGCTACTTTCATACGTTTTAGTGAAACAAGTGAAATATGGTATTTTTCCACAGAATAAGTTTTTGCATTCTAAATATCGCGTTCTTCGGACAACACTGTTGGTAAAATAAACTGGTGAAGATAGAGCTTGATCAATCGTGGCTTCATTCGATTGTTTCACAATGATAATAAAAGCTTTGGTAAAAAATCAGAACATTTTAACATCGGGTAAGCTCAGTGGTTAAATCTACCCTTTATTTTAAGCCATTTTTGAATTCACTCGGGTTTTTTAAGCACTTTTTGAAAGCCATGTTAGTGGAACTGCGGTGTTTTCGTGTTCGTGTTTTAAGCACTCGCGATATTCAATCAAACACATGTGAGAACTAACTCCAAAACACTAAAGCTGAAAAACTTCGTTGAAAAGGCTAAAATAAAAAGAATTCAAATTTTTTTACATTCTTATTGAAATTTGGTAATTTTCCTGAAACAAACTAGTCTAAGCAATAAAAAAAAAAGCTGTCGAAGCAAAACTTTTGAATGTAAACTTTTCAAGAATTCTCAAATTGCTCACCTCCGTTGAACAAAACTTTAAAAATGGCGAGATATATTTATTCCAAATCTTAAAAAAAGAAGATATTTGCTAACTTATTTATTCAAAAGTTTAAGGTGATAATTTTATATGTTTTCTTTTGAATAATTATTATCAATTGGCGGGCTTCCTGTGTTATCAACCGGTCTCCGAGTGTTCGTATAGAAGCATTGTCTTAACGTATTATTGTTTGTCACAAGCCGTGTTAATTACATTACCTTGGATTTGTTGAGTAAATTGAGTTGTCCTTCGAAGCTGTGTGTTCAGTTTTCTTGTGAAATCCATGAAGTTTTCTAATCGTTTTTGACCCAGATCGAGCCAGGCAGGTTTTTCAATGGATGTTCGTAGAGCGTTTCACTGAAGGCCGTCGCGTGAAGCTGAGCGCTTTGCGGAATCCCTGCCGAGTCAAATCACGTTCCTAACCTAAGCCAGCTCGTGGCTTACCATCAACTGCACATTATGATAATTCCCTAAATTTCATCCAGCCTATTGAACATCTTGGTTGAGATTGACTAAATGAAGTTTTTAATTCAATCCACGGTGAGCTGAATGTTCGTAACACGTCAAACTGAACAGTTTTTTTTTCTTGTGGCATTGCATTTTGATATGAGAGCGTTGTAATCTGGTCCGCCCTCCCAACTAAATCGTACCTTAGGGCATTGGAAAATTAAATACACTCTTATTATGGAAAATTAGGTGCACTTGAATGACCTTGAACTAGTTTGTTCGAAGCAAGACAAAGGGAATAATACGTAATATGCACAACAAATTTTAAATGCTAGGCAGGAGTCGTCCAACGTCCCCCCTGTGGAGTCTAATTCAGCCATGCCCTTGAATGACCTTGAACATTCTATCAAAACAAGCTTCATCACTCGCCACTTGGTTGAACAGGTTACTAAGAGACTGGGGACTAGAGGTCTCGGCGGGAAGCGTGGGAAGCAATGACGTCATAGCTGTCTGTGTCGACCTTCGCAAACAATGGTGAAAGTATCTTGGTACGTGTCTATGAATTTTTAATCCCTAGGAAAGGTCGTGTATTCATGGACACATTTTACAAGTTTTGCATATCTTCAATCTATCGGGTTTTTATTTCCTTCCCGCCAAACCCTGATCTAGCCTAGATATACTCCAGTGCGACAAAGTCTATCTAAGATTATTATAATACTTTCAGACTAGTACACCTAAACAGACGGCTTTTGCTTGACAAGTCCAAGTTTATTCAAATGAGGTTAGAAAAGAGCTTAACGAGTTCCTCTTGGCTTTACTTTCGAGCCATGATTTAATAAACTCCTAAGAAAAAGATGCTTAAATACATGATTTTCCCTATATTTGAGGCTATATTTTATCCATCTATTTTATAAGACTGATCTGTTTGCTTCCAAGAATATGTTACAGTTAAATGATAAAAATAAATTGGACACGGAATTTTAGCCAAATTTTGAGTTATGCAGAAGGTCAGATCACACAATAATAAAAAACAGCGACGTCGCTATGAATATTATTTTCGGCACTTCAATTCTTTTTAGTGACAGACATTTTGACAAGAAAATAATCAAACTCCGTAATCTTGAGGATTTCAATGACATGTGCTAGTCAAAGCTTATTGGTTGAGCTGATCATTCATGTTTGTAGACTAGCCAATGAGGTGAGCTAGCGACCTGGATTGTATTATTCGTTTATTCGCCTGCGACAGTGACGGACCGATTGACGGAACCCAACTTATACAGTTCACCACATGCGTCCGTAAGTCGAGCACGGACGGTTGGTAAGAGCGCGAAATTTCTTCATTACTTCATCATATACCGGCTTGTGTACTTCATAAAATATCAATCATTCGCGAGCTGTTGTTTTACTATGTTCGAAGTTTTTATTTTCCTCGCTGGATATGTCTAAGACGAACTTGGCGGATACAAACGATTCTAGTGGAAACGCAAACTCGCACACGGAGAGTGAAAGCGTTTCAGTCGGCAACGGAGAAAGGAACTCATACGGAACCGAACGCGACGCTTCATTTCAAGAGAAAGAAATTTTAACTATCTCCACAATGCCTTCAGTTATTCCTTCAAACTCTCCAATTCCTCCTAGGAGTGATCAACCTATAGTTCATTCTGAACCCGTGTTTAAAATCGAGCCGGGTACAGAAACCTTGCCTCTTGCAATAGCGCAAAATAATGATAGCGGAGGTCATCATTTCAGCCAAGATACTTGCAATCCTATTATACACGAAGGGTTCATCGGCGAGGAACCGCTAGAAATTCAATGCGGAGAAAATTCAGCCTTGCTTTACATCTCAAAACTATGCCAGGGAAGCAAAGGACCTTGCATCTTATTTAATAACGAGTGGTTGACCCCAAACGAACTGCAGTATATCAGTGGAAGAGAGACTGCTAAAGACTGGAAAAGAAGTATTAGATATAAAGGCAAGTCTTTGAAGAGTCTTATAGCTCGTGGATTAATCAAAGTGCATCCTCCAATTTGTGACTGCCTTGGATGTAGAATATCATCACCAGTGGTGAGTCATTACACTTTATTTCTACTAACTTTAGAATATAAACTTTCCCTACTCTCTATCATTTAAGTCCACTTACATCCGCACTGTTTTTAAACGTCTACAAAACTTAACCCTACATCTAAACCTTTATTACTAACAACACAGAAAAAAATGTTAAAATCCGTCTCTTTCTCCTCAGACAAATCATTATTTTTACCTATCTAAAAAATTTTTTAGTCCAATATTATCGTTAACTTTGGTGCTACACACGTAAATGATACCAGTTTTATCCTTCAAATGTAGTTTCTAAGCCGTATTTTGTCGTATATTTACTTTTTCCTTGATTATCTTAGTGGTTTTCTAATGTCTCTGTGAGCGAATTTTTTGTCCGTCATCTAAAAGGCAAATCTGATAGACATCTCCGAAACAAACCGTCAACTTTCCATTTCTTTCAAAACCACATCGTGATAATCTGTTATATTTTTATCTCTATTTTCAATATTATTCTTAAAGTCTTGGAGCATAAAAAGAAAAATTAGGGAAATTTCTTTTTTCCTTTCACTCTTTATATGTATATGTATATATTTTTCTTTTTTTCTACTGGTGCTATAATAATGAACTGGCACAATACTCGATGACGGAAAGGCGGTCTTGAAGGTGACAACGTGACACTAAAATGCAAACACCAGTTATCCGAGTGTTCTTACAGTTCGAGCGGCAACCACAACTTCGCGTTGCAGTTTTGCCGTTCGCAGCTGTTACTGTTGTTCATTTTTGCGCTCTTTTCCCGAGTTATTTCTTGGTGTAATTAAAGCTGACATTTATAAATCTGTTTTTTGCGTGATAGAAGTTCTGAATTACATAATCTTTCTGATTATACAGTGATTGACACCTTTGTATTGAACAAAACAATACTGCCACCACAATAGATTCAATTTACTGGTGATCAATCGGCTGGCGTTGTCATGGAAACTAATGCGCTAATTCTAGACCAGTCTACCGTCAGAATACGTGCGGTAAATCATGTACACGCCTGATTGCGCGCGCATGATCCGTAGCGCTTCCTTTCGTCTGGTCTCATTCAAAAACTTTGTTATCTTTCAGCGAAACCTATAAATATCACGGGCAATATATTCCTTACTTGAGATTTGAAGAATACATTTTTCATCTGACATTAAAAAGCCGTTTTTGATTGCAAATTGCTCATTTTTCAAAGCAGAGAAAAGAAGTGATAAAAATCATGATATCTAGAGACTAAGTGCTAAGATTTTAAAGCACCTAAATATCTGTAAATGCTGTCTCGATATAGACCTTTGGCTTTGATTATATATTTTTTTAAATCACAGATGCTATTTTTTGGAACAAAAAAAATGAAGTCGTGATGAGCGCATTTTTTAGACTCAAACAGAGGAAAACTACCTTAAATACTAAGATTATACGATTCATTGAAAAAAAATCTCCGTGTTAAGAGCGACTTGGTGGTCTGACCATCTGGTTGGTTTAGTAATTTGGATGTCAGCGATGTTGGCGGGTACGGCAGCTTAAAGAGCACGTACGACCATCGCTTCCCTAATCCATAGAAAGAATCCAAACACTTAATCCACCCATTCAATTGATTTAAACTAAACAGACTTCGGTGCGATTTTGTGGCGGGTTTTCTTGACACTGACGAGAGGCATTGGGACTAAAATATTCCAATAAGATGGTTCGATTTCTCGTTGAAGCTTACAATACTTGGTTATCGACGAGGTCAGAAGTCAAGAATATTGATCRTACTAAGGAGGTCCTTGAGCCATTCAGGCACAAATAGCATCACGTATGAAATTTTTTCAGAGCCACATCCGATAGGAACGTCCCAAGCTTTATGTTATTACTCTCGACCTTCGTCAAACCTGGTTCTCAATAAAAAAAAACTCGCTCAAAATCAGCCAGAAAATTAAGTCTTAGCTTTACATCCTTGTACCTTATAAAAAAAAAAGACTGTAGGAGGAAAAAAAACTTAGAAAGTTTAATTCAAAGTGCCACAAAGTAAGACAACAAACGAACAACCAACAGAATTAGCAACAACAGAATTAGCTTCGTTAGTCATAGAATCCGCCTTCTATGTTGTTAACGCTTCCACAATTGCAATTAAACTCATTTATTTCTAACCACATTTAGACACACAACTTTCTTAAACACTCCAACAAGCCAACCTAATACTAACACATTGACGCTTGTCACGAAACACGTTTTACATAACTGAAGAAAGAGATGCTATGTCTTTATCATCCCGCCCTCCACTTGACCGTCGTATGTCAGTGACTTAAACAATCACGTCCAATCCACCATTAGCTAAGATTTAAGCGACTTAAATAGCTATTCTCTAGGTTACAAGAATCGTAGCAATAGAATTTTTGCTCGTTTCTTTCCACCACCATCATTTTGAGTTATATATTCTGATTTATATTATGCTTCTTTGTATTCTTTTGATTAGAATCGAGGTCGTTTGGCGAGCAAATGTGGTGTCGCACCCCCCTCCCCGAGGAGTCGCAAGCGAGACGTTTCCAAGTCGCTGTCGTGTTGGAGCCACGAGGAACTCGAGGGAGCGACCCCTCACAGACATTATTCGACGTCAGATCTCGACGGATTTTCTCGACATACCGCTGTTAATGGGTTAGCGTTCAAGGAATCTAGAGACTCTAGTTCCTCCGCGACTTCAGAATGTTCCGAGGGACAAGATGAGAACCCGTTTTCACCAGTCACAAAGCGGCCAAGAAGCAACTCGCCTGAACTAACTTTCGAAGACAGAGCAAAGCTTCCTCACAAGCGAAGAGCCAGCGATTCATCTATAGCATTCATTCAAAAAGGTAGGAAAATCTTTAATTTCATAATTCTCAAAACACGTTCCACGACCAAAAACTGACGAGAACTCTTTCCTCGCCAAGCCAAGCAAACTGCCAAAATGCAAATCCATTAAGTGAAAAATATAAAAATATCAACATCAGTAAAAATAAAAAAAACATTTCTATGGAAAAAAATTTTGTTTACATCGCCTAAGCAAACAAGTTTTAGTTTACGTGTATTAGAAAAGTTGTACACAACTTATCGATGCTTCTAAAAATAAATTGCCGTTCACAACAACCTAAATTTTTAATGCAAAAATTTTCCTTCTTTTGTTGCATGACGACGCTTTTCTGTTTCGCATTCCAGTAGCCTGACTTCTAAATCTCAACTTCCAAAGCAAGAAATTTCCCAGCTGTCGCTTTCAAGAGTTACCCTTACTCTTACTTAAATCACGAAGCTCAAAAATAAGCCTAGGGCTTTCTTTTCTTTTCTAGACTTAGCTAGAGTATTCAAATTCGAATCGATCAATGTCAGCTTGTTGTAAGTTAAGCTAGGTGTAAATATCTCTCGTTTTCTATTCGAGTGCCAAAAATGCTCTCGAACAAGATTAAATAGTACAACCATCTAAACTTTAGTCTTCTTCATTTTTTTTTTATTTTTTTTTTTTTACACACTAAAAATTTGTACATCCTCTAGAAAATACAATTGTGTTGTATAACTTTGGTCCTCGAAGGATTTTTTAGTTTTTTTAATGGAAATTTTCGGAAATATTTACGAAAAGACAGACGCAGATCTCTTAATCTTATAACAAGTTTATAGATCATGTTCAGTACTCGTCGAGGATAATATCCATATGGCTATGGAATCTGTAGAAGTCGTTAAATACATGTCAAGAACACTAGTATTTCTTCGTTTTTCACGAAGTCAATTTTAGTCAGTGGCACCTAAACATTGTACACCTACGGGGGAAATACTGTTTGTATTTTAAATCCTATTTTTTCTCCTTTTCCTTCTCGTTCTCACTCTTCTCCTCCTTCTCGCTCTTTTGTTTTTCCTCTTTCTTCTTCCTCCAAAATTTCTTGTTCATCTTTCTTCCTCCTTTTAGTCCTTCCTCTTAATTGTTACTGTTTGTATGTTCAATTCTTTTCCTTTTCCTTCTCGTTCTCAATCTCCTCCTCCTTCTCGCTCTTTTTTTCCTCTTTCTTCTTCCTCTTCCTCTTTCTTCTTCTTCCTCTTAGTCCTTCCTCTTAATTGTTATTGTTTGTATTGTCAATCCTATTTTATTCTCTTTTTCTTTTTCCTTCTCGTTCTCACTCTTCTCCTCCTTCTCGCTCTTTTGTTTTTCCTCTTTCTTCTTCCTCCAAAATTTTCCTTCATCTTTCTTCTTCCTCTTAGTCCTTCCTCTTAATTGTTACTGTTTGTATTGTCAATCCTATTTTTTCTCCTTTTCCTTTTCCTTCTCGTTCTCACTATTCTCCCCCTCCTTCTCGCTCTTTTGTTTTTCCTCTTTGTTCTTCCTCCAAAATTTCTTGTTCATCTTTCTTCTTCCTTTTAGTCCTTCCTCTTAGTTGTTACTGTTTGTATTTTCAATCCTATTTTCTTTTTCTTTTCCTTCTCGTTCTCACTCTTCTCTTCCTTCTTCTCCCTCTTGTTTTTTCTCTAAGTCCTCTTTCCTCATTGTCCTTCCTCTAAGTCCTTCCTCTTAATTATTCACTATTTTATCCCAAACAACCCTCTAATGTACCCTCAAACCATGGAACTCAAAACAACTGGTTAACTACTCGAGTAACACAACCAAAACCTGTAAAAGATTACTCTCTGTACGTGCATGTAAGAACTCAAAACATCTTCCGAGTGACGAGACATTGTGGAGTTAGTGGAGCCTTTCCGAAACTCTCAGACATGAAAACTTGTGTCATTGGTCATGATGTTGGGCAAGTAGCGTGAGAACTTCGTACAGCAGTTTAAAACGCGGTCACCCTTTTAGTCTCTAGGACATTGGCACGATAGTGAAATGTCTAATTACTTTTGCTTCAAAACTCGCTTTAAAAAATGAATATTGTCATTTGGTCGTTCAAAAAAATTTAGGCTTTCCAAATCAAATCATTTTTCTTCCAATTGTCTGGCTATTTTTCTCAATCTTTGAGCTTTTTCGCTTAGAATCCCACTAAATAATTATGATTCATAGCTACATGTATTTCGCCTCAAAGACCTCAAAAAGTTATCCATTTAACTACTTTCTTTTCACTCCCACATCCCTCCCATCGTGGATAGATCATTGTTAAAAGTGATAAATCCAAAATATTTTGTGAATTCAAAAAAAATTTCCTTTCTTTTCTCAGTTTTCCAACAATTCCTAAAACAATCCGAATTGTTTCCCGAGAAAAATATGCTTGAAGAAACCAAATCAAATCATTAATTTCTAAGACGTAAGAAAAATCATTTTTATGTCTGGTAATTTGGGTGCTTTCACACGAAGCTGGTGTTTTGTTTGGCTTTTGATAAATATTTTAAATCTAACAAATCATTTACAGATATTACAAGTCAAAAACACTCAATCAAGGTTCTCTAACGTAATACCTAATGGGGCGTTGTTTTAGTGTTAGTTAAACCTTTTTATAGCCAGTATGTAGACAGTGGGGATGACTTCGCTTGGGTATTTTCTTTCGTGATTTACTTATGGTTTTAATATTTTTCCTTTAGTCTTAATTTCGGTTCTATTCAATCTATCCTTCCTTTTCTCTTCTTCTTCTCCATCGATCCATCCATATATCCATCCATCCATCCATCCATCCATTCTTTCATTCCCTTCCATTCTTCAAAAACCTATCTAATATAATCCCAGCTTATCGTTCCCTTCAACAATGTAAAGCAGTAACTCCGGCGTCTTTCCTACCATAATTTTCAGATGAGCTTTTAGATATAGGATTCAATTATGTCTAGTTATCGGATAACACATATATTTGTGTGTTTTAAGAACCCCAGCGGAAACCTACTTTGCGATATTGATAAGTATACGTTTCATAAGTCAATATTGGCCCAAACGACGTCTTGAAAAGAGTCGTCAGTAGTTCTCCGCCCACTGTTCGAATAAACTCTAAACCCGATAAGAGATTATAGGCTGCGACGCTATCGACAGTTCTAAGTAGAATCGAGTGAAAACTCCTAAAAGAGCTCGGCCTTGATTTTAGAATCGTTTCCGGAACCCCTTTCAGTGCTTGTGGAATTTCCTAAAGTCGTCAATCATTTTGAGCTCAGAACACTAAAATGGCTTCTATGGATTCCATTAACGTATTGAAAAATGTCCTTGAATCAAGTCGTCTGTGATGGAAAAAAATCTCAGTTAAAACCTCTTAATCCTAATCTTTTCTAATCTGTTTTTAAGCCATCTAAGCGGATTATTGTTATACTTTTTTTTTTTTTTTTTTTTTTTTTTTTTTTTTTTGTACAGCTAGAAATTAAATTTTCTTTGTTTTTGGTGTGAACTTGAGATTTTCGACTCAGCAAATAGAATAGAAAAGTCAGTCGATATATTTTTTTTTAGGATGGAAGTGATTTTAAAGCTTACGAAAGTCACACAGTGGAAATATTTCTATTAAATAACGAAGAAAAAAGAAAAAAAAAGTAAAATATTTGATTCGTAAAATATGTCCAAAACTAACTTTGAACCAAGATTTTTTATTTAAAAACCTTTTCTTTTTCGCCGAGCTTTTCACGAGTAACTCCTCTAGCAATTTTTACCAAACGATTCAATTTAGTTGGAAATAACAATTTAGACAGTCTTGAAGTAGTTTTACCCACAAATCATAAAAGAAAAGTTTTGAAGAGCTTTTAAGCCTTCTTAAAACTTGTATCATTTCCTCCTTAAAAAAAAGCGTAAAGTCTTATGCAGTGCACGACATTTTAATTAAACTCTTGCTCTCAGAAAATACGTTTTAGTAGCCGGCATAGCACAGAGCTTTCTAAGTAACAGCAATAACAATACCTGGGTTGTTAGTGCTTAAAATTGACAAATTACTACTTAGGACGAAGGGATTTAACATGGCAGTCGCGACTGAAAAACAAATCGACTCTTTTGATGTTCAAACGCTGTACTTTTGAACAGACAGTTTGTGTTTAAATTCTTAAGCAAAGTTAAACAACCAGAAACAAACTCTTATAGTTAGAACCTCATTTGAAGTCAAAGGTTTCGAAATCTAAGATTTTTAATGTTAACTTAATGTGGCTAAAGACTTCGAGCTCGTGTCCGTGCAAAGTGGTAGTCGTTAAAAGCTTTCAAGAAGGCTTTTTGTTTTACGCTGATATACAATACCGACAGACCACTCTACTCTAAAAATCTTAGTCATCCTTGACTAAATGATCTTCTACGAGTAATAAATCACTGTAACATAGAACCAATACTGAGTTTAAGCCACTCTCTTGTTTTTATCATTACTTAGATTTGTATAATTATAGTTAAAAGTAAAGTCATTCTTTCGCTTCCAAACACTAACTCCAAACGTAGTTTTTAAAAATATTGGTCAACAAGAACGGAACGCGCTCTTGTTTTCTTATCTCTACTCTATATTATTCCGCACTAGATTTATGACTATTTATGACATTATTCGATCTTTGTATAGTGTGAAGGTTGGCCTCGAACTTAGAATAGAAACGTGTTCTACTTTCTAGATCTTGTCGTATAGTGCGATTCTATCTAAATTTACCCCTATCACAAATGTCCCTCTTTCTAGAATTTCTATAATTTAAAAAAATCGGTCTCTTTTATTCCTATTTTCACAAACTAGATGTATATCTTTTTGTGTGTGTGTGTTTGTTTGTGTGTGTGGTTTCGTTTCTTGTAGTCGTTGGGCGGTTCTGCTGGATGCATTACGAATGGACAAACTTAGACAACTTTTCCTTTAAAAATTCTTGCATTAACTTCCACACTTGCACTTTTTAGCATTTTTCTAGTTTTTCTAGCTTTTTTGAAGTCAGTATTTGTAGTTACTTTTCCAGATTTATGAGTTTATTTTTATGAATATATGTATTTATATTTAAAAAA